GCAGGTTTGCCCTTTTTCGCTTTGAAATTGTTGCACTTATCAGAATTATCCGAGTTTTTAGCGAGCATGTTATTATGATACACACGATGCAAGTTAGATAGCTATCCTTTCACCTCGTCGGCTTCGCCTGTTTAATTTTATGCCGGGCAATGGGCACTCGCTAACGGAAAAAGAGGCAGTATGGCATGCTTTGTCAATTTTGTCTTTCTTGTCAGTACTTCGGGTGCTGCAGCACGCAACATTCCATATCCGGCACTATCACGAAAAGAGCTCTGAAGCTCTGTGTATTTATAACCGGCCTTTTTTTCTTTGTTCTTGCTAGCGGTTTCGTTTTGTTTATGTATTTTTATTACTTTCGACACTGTGGTAGTTGGGGAGGGGGGCAGGGGAGGGGGCAGGGGAAAGAAAGGGATGATCATTTTGATGTGATATCCCGTCGATGGTGTAATAGATTTTGTGTTCTCGATAGCTTCATAGCGCATGGCTAAGGAAGGCATAATTTTTAATTCCTAACATTAACTCGCCTCCTTGCAAGCTGGCCGCGGGTGTTGTTCCATATGCTTTTGTTGATTTATTCCCTTATTTCGCGTATTTGGCTTCTTTATCAAAATCTGTTTGTGAAAAAAAGTAGGGATTACTATATAGATGCAGAAACTATTCAGTGAAGACAGGTGATTTGTGGCTGGACAATGTGGCGTAGGTAAGATGATATTTCCAGGTGGCGAATGGCATGATGTATTTGGAGGAGCGTAAACTGGTACACAGAGATCTCGCGGCGAGGAATGTGCTGGTCGGCGATAAAATTTCTGGTGTCCCCGTTGTTAAGGTATGTGCTGTTAAAGACTGATTCCTAATAGTAATATGCAAAAAAATAGAGGACAGTGAGGGTGAAAAGTGTGTCGAAAGTGGCGAGGGATGTGAAGAAATCGGAATTAATCAAACGCGTAAATGTGACTATATGGAGTTTGCCTTTGTTTTTATGCATTTTTTACAGCAATGCAATGCGAACAAAGGCTGGAACGCACCAGGCGAGCCGGTGCGATCATGCGTTTTTGCA